GACACCAGAGTTGAAATGTCCTGCCCTGGTCCAAACCCCAACCAGTATGAATTTATTATCGAGTTCGCCTCCCCCTCAATGCGGAGAGGACTAAGCAACAGCCTTTGTCCTTTAAGCTACAATTCCTACGCACTTCACTCCAAACTCACTGGTTTAGATTAAACTTAAAATAAATTTATTAACTACAAAAGATAGACTTTAAGTGATTATAAGTGACAGCAAACAGAACAGATTACCTAGCAAGTGACAGCAAACAGAACAATTATTATAAGATTATAAGTGACAGCAAACAGAACAAAACAGATTACCTAGCAAATAAACAAAAACGCAAACTACACCTAAGATACTAAAAAGACAAGATATGAATTAGCAAATTCTCACCCTGGTTGATTATACAAACAGGCTAAAGATTCTTAAGGGACAAGCTGCACTGGCTTTCCAGCTTGGAATCCTCACATCCATCACACACAGGCTAGAAATTCTTTTAACCTGGGTTCAACACTTCCCGCAGTTCAGTCTTGGTTTCTCAGGTATTTTCAGGAGTCTTCTTGTGTGGGGAAGTGAAGAACAACAGATGATGTCATTCCCTGCCTTATATAGCTTTAGCAATATGGTGGGAACCCTTTGTTTCAAAACTTGGTTCCCAGACCAGTTTGTGGAAAAATACTGACACCCCAAGATGGAGTCCAATCCAGAAACATGTGGGCTGGTCACATGCCCTTGCAGTGTATAGCAGCCATTGCTTACAGGCTGGCCAAAACACCCACAGGAAGGTTAAGCTATTCCACAGTCCATTGTCTTTGCTGTTGGGCCATCAGCCCTGTCTGGCTTCTTCATTGTTGTACCTAAAAGGCCGACTGTGGGTGTTTTCCAGAGTAAGGCCATTTGAAATACAGATTCCCTAGTCAATATTCATAACTTCAGATACAAAAATGATATATGCATATGTTAGGGGGCCTATTCCTTCACCCACTTACTTCCCTGGTCCTTTTCGCATGAACAGAGAGCAACAATACCCGAAGTCCAAAGGTGCAAACAATTCAATGTTTATTGGGGTGAACTTCCAGCAAGCATGATTCCAGTTTCCTTCCTTAGTGTCTCCCTTCCCAGCTCTGACACCACAGAGCCTTACACCTGTGTCCCTGTTCTCATTCCTGCCCTTAGCCAAACATGATTCCAATTTCCCCACCCCCATTCCCTGTTCCCATTTCCCCCTTTAGCAAAACATGATTCCAATTTCCCCACCCCCATTCCCTGTTCCCATTTCCCGCACACACACACACACACACACACACTCACTTCCTGTAAAACTTGAGTTCAGCCTAGCTATACCTTAACCAATCATTTTCCTGAAATTTAACTAACCAATCCTAACATATTGTAACATGATTATTTAACCAATTATACCCCACCACCTTAATTAGTTTACACCCAGAAAAATTAATTATACAGCAGACAGAAACAATCACAGAACCAGACAGAGATTATACAGACAAACAATAGGGAAATGGGGACTACAGTGATAGAACAACAAAGAAATGAGGATTTCACATCCCAGCTATTGATAAGTGAGTTCTTGCCAGACACAATGCTATCAAACTAAGTTTCTTTTTACATCTTCTAGGCGCTTCCCTTTCTCTGGAGGTGATAGGCATTATCAGGACAGGAGTGTCTTCCTAACAGCCCAAAAGCACCCTCTTTCAATGTGACTAGTTTGGAATGTGAGGATGTGACCGGTCGCTTCCCAGTTTATGGCTGCCTCTGTTGCTTAGCCAAAGATCTTAGCCTAAGAACAGGGCCTCAGACTGTCACAGTAAGAGAAGGACCTTACACTGGCAGACAGTGATTTTGATTCTTTCTTTTATACCTCTAACTAGCCAAGTGATAAGAATATACCTAAATTCCTAGAGTATAGGCCTTTACAGACAGGCCTGAATATCTACATCCTAACAGCACACAAATAAGATAATCATATTCAGCAAATCATAACCTTTCCAGTGACACCTCACATGGCCTGTCTTGTACAAAACGCATCATAATTATATCATATCACTGTGAGGAATATGGCGTGCAGTGTCACAGTGGGCTCCTTCTGATCCAAGTGACCCAGCAAAAGCTCCAGCATTGGTACTCATTCACCTTCCTTTTAGACATCCATATATTCAGAACCACTCCTAGTAGGACTCCCAGAGGTCTCAGCAGGAAGCTAGAAAAGCCCCCTGGGTCTCAAGCAGCAAGTGATTCAATATCTGAGACATACTATGATAGAAGTATGGTATACTGGAGAGCACGTATATGTAACACTGAAAAGTTAGTGAATTATTAACAGCTTTGTTATCCATATTTTGAAAAGCATGATTAAACTGAAAAATTATTTTCAGTTTAAAAAGTTTAAAAGCCCTTTAATTTCTTCTCCCCTCCGTATTATTGGACTGATATAAAAGTTTAAAAGCCCTTTTTACACTGAAATTTTGTAAACTGAATATAGATTAAGAATGTAAACATTCCTTTGTATGCTCTAAAACAAACACACAGACACAAATCTTTCTTAAAACCTAGCAAGTCTCACTTGGGCTTCACTTTAAAGCAAATTATTCAGATAAGACTAGGTGGCAGTCTCTTAATAAATGATTTGAGAGAGGTAGGGCTGAGCAGCACAGTGCAAACTCCCTTCACTGGCGCTTCTGATGACATGCATAGTGGGAGAGATATCTGTTGGACTTCTGTGAGTCTCTAATGAAAAAAGAAAAGGAGTACTTGTGGCACCTTAGAGACTAACCAATTTATTTGAGCATGAGCTTTCGTGAGCTACAGCTCACTTCATCGGATGCATACTGTGGAAACTGCAGCAGACTTTATATATACACAGAGAATATGAAACCTGGACCCATGGAAAAGAAGCCCTTGAGGAATTCCACCATGATTTCAACAATTTCCATCCCACCACCAACCTCAGCCTGGTCCAGTCCACACAAGAGATCCACTTCCTGGACACTACAGTGCTAATAAACAATGGCCACATAAACACCACCCTATACCGGAAACCTACTGACCGCTATTCCTACCTGCATGCCTCCAGCTTTCACCCTGACCACACCACACGATCCATCGTCTACAGCCAAGCTCTGCGATACAACCGCATTTGCTCCAACCCCTCAGACAGAGACAAACACCTACAAGATCTCTGTCAAGCTTTCTTACAACTACAATACCCACCTGCGGAAGTAAAGAAACAGATTGATAGAGCCAGAAGAGTTCCCAGAAGTTACCTACTACAGGACAGGCCTAACAAAGAAAATAACAGAACGCCACTAGCCGTCACCTTCAGCCCCCAACTAAAACCCCTCCAACGCATTATTAAGGATCTACAACCTATCCTAAAGGATGACCCAACACTCTCACAAGACTTGGGAGACAGGCCAGTCCTTGCCTACAGACAGCCCCGCAACCTGAAGCAAATACTCACCAACAACCACATACCAAACAACAGAACCACTAACCCAGGAACTTATCCTTGCAACAAAGCCCGTTGCCAATTGTGCCCACATATCTATTCAGGGGACACCATCACAGGGCCTAATAACATCAGCCACACTATCAGAGGCTCGTTCACCTGCACATCCACCAATGTGATATATGCCATCATGTGCCAGCAATGCCCCTCTGCCATGTACATTGGTCAAACTGGACAGTCTCTACGTAAAAGAATAAATGGACACAAATCAGATGTCAAGAATTATAACATTCATAAACCAGTCGGAGAACACTTCAATCTCTCTGGTCACGCAATCACAGACATGAAGGTCGCTATCTTAAAACAAAAAAACTTCAAATCCAGACTCCAGCGAGAAACTGCTGAATTGGAATTCATTTGCAAATTGGATACTATTAATTTAGGCTTAAATAGAGACTGGGAGTGGCTAAGTCATTATGCAAGGTAGCCTGCTTCCTCTTGTTTTTTCCTACCCCCCCCCCCCGATGTTCTGGTTTAACTTGGATTTAAACTTGGAGAGTGGTCAGTTTAGATGAGCTATTTCCAGCAGGAGAGTGAGTTTGTGTGTGTATGGGGGTGGGGGGGATGTGAGAAAACCTGGATCTATGCAGGAAATAGCCCGACTTGATTATGTAAAGAGTTGTCACTTTGGATGGGCTAGCACCAGCAGGAGAGTGAATTTGGGGGGGGGGGGGGGTGGAGGGTGAGAAAACCTGGATTTGTGCTGGAAATGGCCCACCTGATGATCACTTTAGATAAGCTATTACCAGCAGGACAGTGGGGTGGGAGGAGGTATTGTTTCATATTCTCTGTGTATATATAAAGTCTGCTGCAGTTTCCACGGTATGCATCTGATGAGGTGAGCTGTAGCTCACGAAAGCTCATGCTCAAATAAATTGGTTAGTCTCTAAGGTGCCACAAGTACTCCTTTTCTTTTTGCGAATACAGACTAACACGGCTGTTACTCTGAAACATCTATAATGAAAGTAAGTATGAACATTTCCCAGAGGTTCTCTAACTGTGCCAGTAGATGCTGATTCTGGATCTTACAATCATATTTATTCAGGTCATCTTTTTCAAAACCTATTTTTCCCATGCGGGGCACGGGAATGTATTTCAACAGGATTGAAAACATGTTCCTCAGTTTTCCTGTCCTTTGAACTGCTGTGCTTTTACTTCTCATGTATAGAAACAAATTCAGAGTCTTGCAGACAAAAAAGGAGATGACGTGGATGTATTCTGGCTATAATGAAAACAGGGATGTATAATGTTAACCGAACGACTCTCCCCCTTCCAGAGTATTAAAACTCTTCAACCACGTGTGAGGGAGGATAAAGACGCCCCAGTGTCCGACCCCCCTCCCCGCAGCTGACGCGGCAGCCCCCCTTCCCGCCTTGCTTGCACCTAACGTTTGCTTTTTTTAGAAACATGGGATGGCCACCCCCTCTTTGCAGTCACTCGCAGCCCTTCTCCCAGCCAGCGCAGCGTCCCAGCGCGTTTGCCATTTCAAGCCTCCCCGCCGCCCTCCGTAGCTCGACGCGACGCTGTCTCGCGCACGCCACGCTGAAGGCGCGGAGGGGGCACGCGCTGCAGCGTCCCCCCCTCCGGTCTGCGCGTTCAGAGGAGCCGCCCCCGCAATAGATAGAACGTGCAGCTCCCCAATCCCCACCAGGCAATACTGACAACTTCGGCTGGCCCGCCGAGGCAGAAAAAGTTACTGCGCCTGCGCAAGGGTGGAGGTTCCGGGAGAGGCGGCGCGTGCTGGAACTGTTAGTGTCAGCGGGCAACGCGCATGCGTCAGCGGGACGCCTACAGGACCTAGGGTGGGCGAGAGCCTATGAGGCGCTTTTGTGGCCGCGGCGCAGGGGGCGGCGCCTGATTTGAACGGGCCGGCGGCGGGGCCGGGGACTGGGACTGGGACTGGGCGGACGTCGTCTGTCCGCGCCGCCGCCGCTGCCGCGCCATGGCCAAGCAGCTGAGCCGGGAGCAGGGCATCACCCTGCGGGGCAGCGCCGAGATCGTCGCCGAGTTCTTCTGTGAGTGAGCGGGGGCCGCGGCTCCGGGGCGGGGGTGAGGAGCCCGGGCGCGGGCGGGGGGGGTCCCTGCAGCACACCGCGGTGCGCGCTGCCCCCGGGAGGGAGCCCGGAGCCCGAGGCAACGCGGTGACCCGGACACCGCTCGGGGAGTCCCGGGAGCTGCGTCTCTGCCCAGCTACTCGTGGTGCGGCGTTTTGTTCCCTTCCCATCCCGGTAACGCGGCGGAGGGAAGGGGCCGCCGAGCGTGGGGCTGCACGTGCGGGTGGCGTCTGGGAGAGCCCAGTGACTGGGCCGACTCTACCTGCCTTTCAGCTTACGGCATCAACAGCATTTTATATCAGCGTGGGATCTATCCCTCGGAGACCTTCACGCGCGTCCAGAAATACGGGCTCACTCTGCTCGTCACTACAGATCCTGAACTTAAAAACTACCTGAACAACGTGGTAGAACAGCTAAAAGGTACAGCAGGTCAAATGCACCTAGGTGGGAGTTCACCCGATGTTATGAGCTTTGAACTCCCGTGTTTTCCTCACCTGGCATAATTCTTTAGAATCATGATGGGTTTTAGAGCGTGGCTTGCATATGAACTGATGTTTCACTTATGAGACAAGACAGACTATCTGTTTTATTTATATTTACCTATTCTATTTGTTTATATTGGGGAGCGCCTTATTTTACTAAACACCTATACATTCTAACCAGTCTTCTGAGGCAGAGCCGTGTATTCGATCTCTTCACCATTCAGAGCTCAAATGTGAATTTATTAATTGCTAAGAGGTTACATTAGTCTTAACATGTCTGTTCAGCATGCCTATTTACATAGCTAATCCAGAAATATAAAACCAATATGATCCAGAGAAGTTGGCTATTAGAATTGGAGAGAATGTACACCTTGAAACTTGTCACTAACTTAATATAGTCAAACTGAAGACTGCATAGCATTCTAACTGCTTTTCCATAAACCGTAAGATTACTAGTGCAGCTAGTAAATGGGGTTAATGAAGGCTCACTCTACTACATTATCTATATTTTCTGACTTGGGGAAGTTATTTTTCTCTTGCTTCTTTCAGACTGGTTATGCAAGTGTTTAGTACAGAGGCTGGTGGTGGTAATCTCTAGTATTGAAAGCAGTGATGTTCTTGAAAGGTGGCAGTTTGACATTGAATGTGACAAGACTGCAAAGGATGAGAGGTAATGTAGTCAAAATTACACTGTTATAAACCCTTCCTGTTGACTACTGCTAGTAGTTGATTAGGTGCTAGTATTAAAGGCCCTCTGTTTTGTATTTATAAACTGTGCTGCAAAAAGAATAATCTGGGTCAATCTTTTAAAAAAAAAATACTCAGCTGTAGTGGGAAAACACACCAGCTCAGGTCATCTTTGACAGCATTTTGTAGCTTTCAGTCTACTGGTGTGCTTCACTGTAAATCAAATGGAAAACTTTTTTGATCTCAGATGAATATGTAACTCCCATTTACTTTAAAAGGAGCTGCATAGAAAAGGTAAAATTTTCCCTTTTTTTTTCTCCTTCACTCCTTACATAAAGATATAGTCTACTTCAGCAGCCATTATAGACCTCCATGGTGGTACTTACGTGTTTGTTTTTTCATCACTGTTCTGCTTCTTGATTTCTCATATTCAGAAGCAGTTGCTTTGGTAACAGTAATACCCCATAAACTCCAGATCACAGGGAAATCGAGACAGAGGCTGGTATCCTTAAACATTGAGAGGCTTCATGGAAGAACAATGAACTGAAATTTTAAACTATCATTTTGGTTATATTTTCCAAACCTTGACCATCCATTTTGTATTGTACTATATAATAATTGTCCCTCACCCAAGAAATGCAAGTCTCAATTGCACAATCTGTCCCTTTATTGTATGGCAAGAATAATAACCGCTTTTAAACAAAAAGAAAAGGAGTACTTGTGGCACCTTAGAGACTAACCAATTTATTTGAGCATAAGCTTTCGTGAGCTACAGTGAGCTGTAGCTCACGAAAGCTTATGCTCAAATAAATTGGTTAGTCTCTAAGGTGCCACAAGTACTCCTTTTCTTTTTGGGAATACAGACTAACACGGCTGTTACTCTGAAACCCGCTTTTAAACAATGGAGAGAGAGCTAGATTTGGAGAAACTTCTCATTATAACAAAAGCTTCATTTTTTCCCCCCTATATTGACAACGTATTACTCTCTTGTAGCGTACCAAGAGAGAAATCTCAGAAAGCTATCCAGGAGGAAATTCGATCTGTTATCAGACAAATAACTGCCACAGTAACATTTCTGCCTTTGTTGGAAACATCCTGTGAGTATTCCAAACTTTTGTGTGACTAATGAAACACTTTGTGTAGAAGAAAACACCTTAAACCTGAACTGAAATTTTATCAAAATGAGACTACCACCTTTCTAATTATAAGCTGTATACTGCTTATGTAGATTTAAATGACAATCTAATGCAAAATGAAGGATTTAAGTATGACACCTGACCTAATGTCTATTCTGCAATTATATAACATTCTATATGCGAGTTGTGTGGTTTTGCAAAGAAAGCACAGTTAAATGTGAATACTGTACATCTAGAACTATATGCTATGCCTGGTTTGGGATCTCACTTCAATTGAAAAGCATTTATTTAAATGTCCTAATAGTTCTAAACATATGTTTTCTCTTCCTCTCACTGAAGTATTTGTAAAGCTATTTCTGGTGAAGTGACCCTCTTCAAAAAAGAGATGAACCCTGCTACTGAATTTAAAATTCAACTCTGAGTTTAGGCATACATATTTGGCAAAAAAAGTTTGCCTACTATGTATAGCAAAAACGTTCTCCAATAAATTACTATAGAATAACTTAATAGCAAACTACTAGTCTATAAAAGTTAGTTCACAGCTATGCTCAAATACAGTCATGGCTCAAATGGATATTTAGGCCCTGGTACTGCAAACGTACAAGTAACTTTTGCACAAGATGTTTTGTTTATACAATAGAACTACTGAACTGCATAAATGAAGTAAAAACTGAAAGGTAAGCACTGACTTGCAGATTTGATATCACAGGTTGTGTTTTTCGGTGATCTTTTTAGGGGCTAAGAAGAAGATTGAAAATTGTTAGTCTGAATATATGTATGTTTCAAACATAAAAAGCTCACTGTTTTTAACTTAGCCTTGTTATACCAATAAAATAAAAACCAGCAGGATCTTATTAAAGGGGAAAAGGCAAAATGCCCCATTTATTGTGAATACAGAAAGAATCATAGTAAGTAGTTAGTTATAGCTATAATATTCAATTCAATTTCATATTCACACGTGCACACACACACACACGTTCTGCAAGATTGTTATCATAGTTACCAGCCCTACCTGGAAGTTGGTTTGCAGAATCAGACCCCAAAGTTCTCACTTTCTAGAGTCCGTTTTTATAGGAATTTCTTCCTATGCCAGTCTATGGGAATTGCTTCATCATGCTGTTGCTGAATCAATCAGCAGATGGCACGTTCCTGAGAGCTGCGTGCTGCCAGATGTTATCTTGTTCTTTGGTTCTCCCATTCTTGAGGCTGTTGGGTGGATTCCAGTCTGCCCTTCGGGGGTCCTCTGGTTATTTCCACTTGACGCCTTCTTCAGCCGATGGACACTGGATTCTTAGGCTGGCACCTCCCTGATCATTCAGTTGTTATCCACACCAAGCATCCATCCACATACATCCTCTCTCTATTTTAATCACAATTGTTAACAAAGCAAGATGAATACAACAAAAGGGCGGGGAGTCTCTGGGTGCTGTTTCTGTTGTTACAGAGTATTACTTTGAGTCTCTCTCTGTGTGTGGTTGTTACAAAGAATTGCTTTGAGAACAGACTCTGTCTTAGAATGTACTAACACAATTAGTAACTTGCATGTTTCACACAGAGAGGGAGAGAAACAGTACCAAAAACCAAGAGACCTCCTTAATTAGTAATACCCTGGAATTTAAACTATGGGGAATCAAACTCATTTGTGATTTTAATACAGAACTACTTTAATATGATCCAACAGCCTCACATACACCATGTTTAGCCATGTGTAGCATATATATGAGCTGGGTTTTGCAGGGGGCTTTTGGTCAGTGGTTTGGAATCTCTGAAAATGCATAACCCATCTGAAAGGTATACATAACTATTGACAACTCTTTTGCCTACAGGTGCCTTTGACCTACTCATTTACACAGACAAAGATTTGGCAGTGCCAGAAAAATGGGAAGAGTCAGGACCACAGTTTATTGCCAACTCTGAAGAGGTCCGTCTTCGTTCCTTCACTACCACCATTCACAAAGTAAATAGTATGGTGGCCTACAAAAAGGATTCCTTTCCTTGATGGAATGAATAATGTGGTGTGTGTCCAGAAACTGCCTTCTTGTAAATCTGATGCTATGAACTGTAGTTTCATCCTGAACAGTGTTTGTGGTGTGGGTGTTTTTCTGTATCTTTTACTCAACTTTGGATCAAAATAATAGCAAAACAAAGCAGTTCTCTTGTTCACATTACACCGTATGCTGTGCTGAGGCCTTGTTGACCTATTGTCATCCCTCTAATGAGAGACAAAGGATTTACTTAAGAATATGGCAGTGTCTTCTTATACTGAACAGTATGCCAAATCCATTCTAGATTGGAGCACCAAGAGCAATATCAAACACTTAACCCCTCTAAAACCTGGCTTAGAAAGGCTGCTTAGAGATAATGCACTTATGATTGCCCTGGAATACTTTTTGAATGGCAGCTGTTACCTAATCTTCAATATGATCTCATAATAATAAATAAGAGGTGCACACTAACAGACTTCTAAAAATGGTTCTGACAAATAGGGGTTGTTCTTGATAGCAATTTAGGTGGACAGTGGTGTTAATGAAGATGATTCTGGAATTAATTCACTGAAGTCTCATCTGTTCCTCCTACCTCTCTGCTCCGGGACAGAAATTATAAAATCAGTCCTCTCCACTGTGTAATGAAAGGTCTGGATATGAATGATTGATTGTACTCTAGCCTAAACCCAAAATCTCTATTGTTTTACTCTGTGGGTAATGTCTTCATGTTAATATTTGTCTTATTTTGTATTCATGTTTTATAGAATAAAGCTCTAAAATCTTTAATGAAAACTTTACATTTATGTAGTATCTGGGAACTACACGTTTCATGCGTCTTAGACAATGTCCTTAAATTTGTGCAAGTCAAACACTATTCCCTCATGAAGGCTTAACGTCACTATCGCAGTTTCTGTTACTTGTTTCACCTGGTGTTAGTTTTCTAACTCTGAAGATTAGAATGAAGTCTCACTCCTGCATGGGCTTACAGGATTTGTGCACAAGATAAAAAAAAATGATTTAGTGGTACTTGGTGTATAAAATCCACTGCTCTGTGTAGGTCTTTATATAAAAGAACATTGAGTGAGGGTCCTTAAAGGCAAAAATAGTACCTGAAACTGCTTCTATTTCAACTCAACAGTATCCCTTTTAAGCAGACTTAGAAAATGACAAAGTTGCATGGACAGCTTTTAAGATGCACACCTCCAGAATTTTAAGATCAGATCCAACTTTCTTTATCTGTGCATATTACAATCTTAAGAACACTCAAACCGAATCCCCACTCTGTCACTTTAAGTACAGAGAGTGGGGGGCCTGCAAATGTTCTAAAAATTAATACTTGCCATTCCAGGCTTGTATTAAACTCCCAGGGTTACAGCTTTTCTCTGACTTTGGCTTGGTAAATGCTGCCACCACCCAAATGCAAAAAAACCCAACCCTTTGACCCAGGAAGAAGCACTTGGAAATTCCTCCCTTTGGGGTGCCCTCAAGCACAAACCTCTTAAGACACCAAAAATACAATCCTGTTCTTAAGGTAAATTTTATTAAAAACAACAAGGAAAAAATTACATTTACTTAGGCTTTTGCTAGATTTTAAAAGAGCAATTTCAAAAATTAAGCACCCAAACTAGCTTTCTTGGGGGTTCAGCTTAAAGGTTACAAGCAAACAAAACCATCAGGGGTTAGCACAGAGGAGATCCACAAGCCAAAATAAGAAATAAACCTGATTGTATCTACCTAAACATTCCCTATCCAAATAATTTCTTCTTCATACGTGGTTCAAACCTTACACAGCATTTCTGCTTATAGCATTGTTGCTCTGTCCCTGTAGCCCAGAGAACAACAGACAAAGGGAAAGTTTTTCCCAGTTTTAAAAGTTCTAGCCTTCCAATTGGCTCTTTTGGTCAGGTGCCCACTCCTTTTTTTCTCTTTACCACCGGGACCATTTAACTTTTTACAGGGAAAGCAAGTCAAGAACAGCTACCAACAGGGATTTTACAGCTAACTGGCTGGCTGGGTGTCTATCAAAGGGAGCTACCTCCCCCCTTCATTATCACACATACTGTAGGGGAGTAGAGTGCTAATTTCAAGACAATAATCTGATCAAATGAGAATTTAAGAGGAAGGCTAAATACCTCTTCTGATGGTAGTTATCAGATTTATTCTGATATACCTTCAAGTCATTTTGGCAATAAGGCTCTTTTGAAGAAAAAAACTCTTGCTGTTAAAAACTTAGATTTAACTCTTCATTTAAAAAAAAACTCAAAACTTTAGCTAAAGAGGTTTCAGTCTAAAAAGTGAGTGTGAATGATAAAATTTAGAATGGAAAAACCTTATGCAGTCATTCTTACTTACCTGTTTGCAGAAAAAGTAAGTTTGGGGTTTTTTTTTAAAGCTATGTATTGCCAAAATACATTATAGGCAGAGCTGGTAGCTCTGCCCATAAAAGTTGCCTGACTCTTATAAGATGTTATCTTTAGTCCAGGGGTTCTCACAACAAATTTTTTTGTTGTTTCTTTGCTTTTTTGGTTGCTTTAAAAAAAAAATTGCTAGCTAGTAAGTCGTCTGCTGTGAAAAGCCCTGGGGCAAATTAAGACCTGGATGGGGAGGGCAGCTGTGGGGCCCGGGGATGATGGTGTGGGTGGTGAGCCTGGGATAAGAGCCAGCTATCTCCTAGATGGAGCCCAAAGTCCCATGGCTGAAGACTTCCCACTCACCCTCAGGAAAGTGGGGCATTCACCAGCTGCCTGCACCTCCAGCGTTTGTGTTTCCAGAGGGGGGGCAGGACCAAATCCCACTGGTGACCCTGGGAGAGGGCCCTCTACTTCTCCCCCACCCACAATCACAGCCCAGGAGGAGGTGGTCACAAGAAAAGCCTCGGGTGGTTGCATTTGAGAAACACTGCTTTAGTCGCTCATAACTTTCTCAAGCTTCAGTGGTTTGAAATGAAATTTCACAGTGGGCTGAACTTTTTTAGAAAGTTTCTGACAACAGTCCAGTTTCTGAGAATGGAGTTAGGGGAAAATGTTTTTGTTTTTACACCATGTTAAAAATATAATCTTAAAATGATTTTGTTGAAACTTTAATGACCTTATTCTTTATAGCTGACTTTCACTTTAACCAAGGTGTGACCGCTCAAGTTTTTTTTTTTTTTGGCTATTCCTATGAAAATCTGCTCCTATTTGTCCAAATTATAAGCCTTTGGAAAAATCTTAGTTCACAGCTAAAAATGTGGGTTTTGTATGCATTGAGCTCCCCTCAGCTCCCTACATATGACTAGACTGTGCAAGTGCCATCCCTACACGGTACCTGAGAGTGCTCTGGCTAGGGGTGGGGGGACAGCGGGACTTTTCCTGCAATTGCAGCTCCTGGTATCTGCAGGCCAGCAGCCCATGAAAACAGGGAGACTGTCTCCTTTTCTCTCAGTGCAGAAGTTGAATACAGTGGAGATGGGATGATCAGCTCTGGGGAAAGGAGTAGATTGGGGGAAGGAGTTGATGAGCATTGAAGAGGGGGAGCTGGGGCAGGCTGAGCAAGGAGACTCAGAAGAAGTGGGGATGAGGTGGGACAGAAGTTGAGAGGATGGGGAAGAAAAGGTCAAGACTGAGGGGAACAGGCAGAATAGTTTGTGCCCATTAAAGCAGGGGTTCTCAGCCTTTTTTCCTTCTGAGGCCTCCCCCAACATGCTATAAAATGTCCATGGGCCACCTGTGCCACAACAGCTTTTTCTGCATATAAATGCCAAGGCCAGCATTTGGGGTAGGAGGCAGGGCAATTGGCAGGGGCCCCACAAAGTTAAGTTGCTCAGGTTTCAGCTTCAGTCCCAGGTAGCGGGACTTGGAGCAGCAGCACTTCGGCTTTGCCCTAGGCACAGCAACGCAGCAGTGAATCTAATGCTGGCCCTGCTTGGTGGACCCCTTGACACCTGCTCACAGCCCCCCAGGGTGCGCTTTGGCCCCCTGCTTGAGAACAGCTGTATTAGAGCACACTCCCCTATAGAGCCTGGAATGGAAGCCAAGTTCTAGGAGTCTCACCATTCCTGTGCAATCAACATGTCTGTGAAGTCTACTGACAAAATGGCTCTCATCCCTCTAATGCTGGCAGCCTACCTATGATTGCTATGAGTTGTACAGTGGATCTATTGGTTCCAACATGCTGGTGCCACAGATGGATGTTAATGTGATGCCACATGAGGTAATTCCTGTTTTCTTCAGGTTGTTTTTTTTTTAAACAGCTAGGAAATTATACCACATAAAGTACATTAAATAAACATTATAGGTTACAAAGTCAAGGGATCAAACATTAGGAATTGCCAAAATTAAGGTTGCCTGTGCACTCTATTTTCACACCTTGTGCATGCACATTATGCTACAGTCTAATTATATGATCACATATTTTTCCCCCACAGCTCCCTCATCTCATTCGGTACACAGAATGGAGCTGCTCTGGCTATGAATCCGGGCTACGTAGTGAAGTAGACTTGTCTTTAGGACCACATGCCTCATTTGTTGCAGAAATTGGAAGGTACATAGTGAATGAGGTAGGGGATTGTAGGAGAAAGGATGGTTTCATGGTTAAGGTAGTTGAATGCTGCCCGAGAGAACTGGATTCTGCTACAGAGTTCCTATGTGATGCTATGTAAGTCACTTACACCAAACTCTGTCAGTATGTGTGCACCTCTTTTTCTAGGGTCCAACTTGAGATCCTGGGGTCCGAGTTGCAGAAGTGCTAAGCACCCACAGCTGCTAACTGACGTAAATAGGAGACGTGCTTTGAACATATTAATTGCCAAATAATGCTAAGTACTCTGAAAAATCAGGTCTTCGGCATCCAAAATTATTGGACACTTTTGGCCTTAAGCAGTCTGGACAGTATGCACTTAAGTAGCTATTCACTATTTTGTTTTCTCCTTTATAGTTCAATGAGTGGCCCCATGCCTTACTTATTGCATACTATTCAAACCCTGCTCTGGGGACAGAATTGTTAATTTCCACGTAGGCTTTTATAGGATGCTCATCACTATAGTAGCTGAGGCTCAAATCTACAAAAGGACTTAAGTGCCATGAAATGAAGATAAGCGTTCTTATCCCCATACACCCATCTCTGCTATAGTGCCTGATCTGGCAGGGATTTTCAGAGCACAACTAACTGCACAAAATAGCTGGCAGGGGAGGGAAAGACAACCTACCTCCCTTATAGCCCAGTAGTTAGGGCACTGATGTGAGACACCCTGGTTCAACTGCCCCCTGTGCCTGATGAGAAGGAAGTTGAACTTGTGCTCCCCAACTCTGAGGTGAGTACCCTAACTACTGAACTATGGTATATTTTTTTTGGGGGGGGGGGACCCTCTCTCAGCCTTTCCCGATGTAGCTGGCCCAGTGTGTATAAATTACTAAATATGCATTGAGCTAGAGAGAGAAAATCATCCTGTAGTCCAATGGTTAAGGCATTCACCTGTTAGGTGGGAAAGCCATGTTCAAATCCCTTCTCGTCAGGCAACAAGGGCAACTGAACCAGGATCTCCCATGTGAGTGCCGTAATGATTAGGCTAAAAGAATTATAAGGGGGGCTGCCTTCTCTTACTCCTTTTCATGTGGAGGAAGGCATGTTTTAAGGTGACCTACTGGATTGGCCCCTGCAAGCAAGATGCGCGGGCAACGCCTATCTTTACCTGGTTAGCTTTTGTGTTTGTGATAGGCACTGGCCTCAGGCTGAAGCAGCAGTATGCCTGTCGCGAGCAAGAAATTTAGGCATCGAGATACTTTAGGTTTCTCTAGGGTTAGGTGGCAATTTAACAGAG